AATATAAAAGAGAAATACATAGTAAATAATGATAATCGTGAGAATTCAAAAAATATTGATTTATACATAGTATAAGAAGTGCACTCACAAAACGATAGAGCAGTAGAAATAATAGAAATGTGGACACCAGATACACTTCACAAACACGATATTATTCTTAAATTTCATTCATATTAAATATTTGAACATATTACATGATATGGATACTCCATTAGGGCATTCGTGGTCAGTTTCCTCTCTTCTCTAAACACACACTTATTGGGCCAACGTAACGGAATGATAAACAATGGTCATTAGTGCTATTACTTTATTAGTTTCTTACTCTCATGACGCACAGAAGCTTAGGAGTGATAGAGAAACTTAAATACATACTTATTATTAATTATTATTACATTTACAATTTACATACAAACATGCAAAACATATACAATAGAAAAATGATAGTAACAATTTTATCGATTTGTTGAGTTTATCAACAGTTTTAGTATCAATTTTAGTATCAATCATAACAATCATTACGAAGCAGCAAGCAGCAGCTCAGCTCGTTGCTGGTACCGATCATAACCACGGTCTTGTTATGATACAATGCGCGGGCGCAATCATACAACCACTGAACAACAAAACAAACTACTGAGTACTGACTAAATTTCGTTCACTCTACGCCAGTCTACCGCGTATTTTGATTGGTTTGTAATTTATGGCGCCTTTTTGTGTTTTCAATTGACACAATAGTGTTTTACTATTTAGTATTTACATAGATTAAACGACAGAACGACAGAACTATACCTATTAAAATATTAAAATTAACATGAATAGATGTTTAATCTATGCTATCTATTATCATCATACTCTGAAATTATGTACTGAATAATAATCTACTCACTATAGCCTATAGCCACTTTATACTTAGTAGTTCACTGTAATTACTACTCAGCATGACAAAGTACCAAGTACAGATGTGCAGTTCCATTTTTCACTATGCTGTGGCTTTTCTGTAGGTTCTTAAATTTTCATCATGATAGTTTGTGCTTTTGTTGTAGCAAAAAAAAAACAAAAAAATGTGAACTATTGAAGTTGCAATCCAAAAATTAATGTTCTTAGATTTCCTAATGAAGGCTGTGTGCAGGGACGGATTGGAATTTCGGGCCAMCCGGCCAGGTTAATATTTTATTGTCATCTAACGGTACCCATTGTTCATACAAAAATGAATTATATATATATATAAATATATWATAAATTGTAATATTTTATTGAGGGTTTGCTTTGTATTGACAAATGACAGGTATAAAATACCTATAGTAGTTATTAGATGTAATTTTTAGTTAAAAATAGGCCACTTGGTCTACTTAAAATATTTATGTACTGTTTGAAAAATACTTCATTATGCCTATTTACTTGTATAGTTGTATGCTATAAGCCTATAACACATTGTCACATAATATTATATTACCAGCAGGTAGCAATAGACGATACTATTTATTATTATTTAATAATACAATAATATTATTATTATAGGAGAAATTATTATATTATTATATTATTATAGGAGAAATTAATAAATACCTTAATTATAAAATCAAACTTTGATGGCTTTAACAATAAAATRTATTATAGATTTGATTATCCAGGGTGGTTGATTTTTTGATAATAATTATTATTATTAGTTACTATTTAATTTCCCAAGTTTTTGTTATTCTATTATAAAACTTATAGTTATATTCCAAATAAGCTGTTAGT